CCACATCAGATCTTTCCTACACACTTGAATTCTCAATCCCTCCATCCATTGCCCTCGAGGTGGCTGTGGTGGGGAAGAGACTGCTGTCTACCTCCTCACATAATGTGCTTTTGCGAAGAAGGTCTAGAGACAGATGCAATGTTTTCTTGTCACAGTTCATCCTGAGCAGCCCCATAACATCGGGCTACTCTGTCTCTTAGACAGAGACAACTGGTGCTGGTTTGACCCAAGGGTCACCACGCCTCAGATTAGGGGAGAGGTTGAGAAGCAGAGTCCTTCTTTGGTGACCTCAGCTGGTGTGGGAATTGAAGCCACACTGTTGGCATTACTCTGCATCGCAAACCAGCTATATAGTCAACTGAGCTAACTAGCCTCCAACTAGTTGGAATACATTAGTCATTGAATAATTTATTGATAGTTAACTTTACTAACAACTGAAAATCATGGCATTGAAATTTTCTGCACCTGATTAGTGGGGTGCAAAGCTCTGTTTGTAATCTTTATTTTCATGGTGCTTGGAGTCAGAGTTGTGATCTTCTGCATACAGTCTTCAATACTGGGATACATAATTATAACACCTAGACAAGGCAGTGTTGGTATACAGATCCTTCCTGATATCTGCATCACACTTCATGATGGAGTTGGAAATGGTCTCATGGATACCACAGGTTTCCATACACAAGAAAGGTAGTTGGAAGAGAGCCTTAAGGCATCTAAATCATTCATTACCAATTGTAATTACCTGCCCATCAGGCAGTTCCCAGCTCTTCTCCAGCGAGGAGGAGGAAGCAGCAGTGGCCATCTCCTGTTCAAAGTCCAGTGCAACATTGCAGAGCTTCTCTTTGATGTCAAGGACAATTTCTCTCTCAGCTGTGGTGGTGAAAGAATAGCCTCTTTCTGTTAGGATATTCATGAGGTAGTGTGTCAGTTATGGCCAGCCAAATCCAAATGCAGAATAGTGTAAAGCAAGGTGTAATTTTCATTGTGAATCCATTTCTCTAAAACCACCAAACTGCAAAAAGCAACTGGCACCCAGCTACATAACAGGCAATGAAGATCTGGCAGCTCTAGGTACCACTGTGGCTCTGAAATTTAAGGGAAAGGAAGTGGAGAGATGAGATCGGGGTAAATAGCCAGGGTCTTTTCCCCAGAGTAGCGGAGTCCAAAACCAGAGGGCATACGTGATGGTGAGAGAGGAAATTTTAAGAAAGGAGCAACCTTTTCACACAGACAGTGGAGCATGTACAGAATGACCTGCCAGAGGTAGTGTTGCAGGCTGGTATAATTACAACATTTAAAAGGCATCTGGATGAGTATATGAATACGAAGGGTTTAGAGGGATATGGGCCAAATATTGGCAAATAGGACTACATTAATTTAGGATATCTGGTCTGCATGGACAAGTTCGACTGAAGGTTCTGTTTCCTTGCTCTATAGCTGTATGACTCTATATAGTAGTGACCAAGAAACTAGTGATAGTGATCAGGCGATGTCAGGGAATAAGGAGCAGAGATGATTGGTGAGGTTGAGTTCTAGCCAACAGTCCCCCACATTCTTTAAATATAGGATTGTGAGGTTGATTCCTAGTCTTCCCAGTACCAACATACAGGTAAATATATTTCTAAAACTTGTCTTTTTGGAAATGGCCTGCAGCAGTCCTTTCAAGGATCACCTGTAAACTTGGTTTTCCTGAAGGCTAACTCAGGGTAAACTGATCTTACAATGGAGGCTTCAGTCCAGTAGTGCTTTATTTGCTTCAGGTATGAAAACTACACACCACATTTTAGCTTTAACAATGGGCATGACCTTCTTACTGGCAGTGTTAAAGACTGAAGTGTTCCATTTATTATTTTTAAAACAGGTGCTGGGGTGGCCAAATTCCACATGTCCAGATTTCACCATTAAAATTTCCAAATAGTTGGAAATTCTGAATCTGGGTAAATGACAGTCTTGGGGTCAGTATTACTCTGAGCCATTGTAATGGTCAAAGAATTCATTGTACTACACAATATAGACAATGAGAGGAGAAAGTTTTAAAAAAATGTGAAGGGCATTACAACATTTAAAAGACATTCAGATAAGTACAAGAATATGAAAGGTTTGGAGAAATATGGGCCAAATGCAGGCAAGTCAGACTAGTTTAGTTTGGAAACATGTTTGGCGTGGACGAGTTGAACTGAAGGGTTTGTTTCCATGTTTATGACTCTACGACTCTATAATGGATGTTATTCCTCTATGCCGATCTTTAAAACTACAGTTTGAGTCAACAGACCTTGTATCACTTCAATTTATGTAAATCTGCACATTATGCATGTACTTTCCACATAACTCCATCGCCTTCACCTGCTTTCATCAGGCGACTTCATTATTTTATTGAAAGAAATATGTTTGTAAACAGCAATGTATTTCAGATGTGCATATTGTTCAGACATTGATAAATGACACCTTTTCTTTAGCAGTTTCTGTAGTCATCTGAATCTTTCAATGTGTTACTACTTCAACTCACCCTCCAAGCTATGTGTATATTACGGGTAGCATACTCCCTGCAGTGCGCCACCTTAAGTGTACTCCTGAAATGACATGCCAGTGCAGCTCCAAACAAGTGCCAAACTGCAGAGGTGGAGTGTTTCGCGAGGCATTAAACCATCTTTCCTCTTAGCCGGATGTAAAAGTTTGATTGGAATTGTTTTGAAAGAAAGCAGGCTTATTCTTCCCCGAGCCCTTATTCAACCTACATCATTAAAAACTAACTATCTGTCATTATTTCATTGCTGTTGTGGAGATTTGCTTGTGTCTTGTGTTTCTTACATTACAACTGTAACTCCTTTGAAAGCGCTTCAATGGCTATAAGGTTCTTTGGGACATTGTGAAAGGCACTGTATGAATACAGGTTATTTACTTTTTTTAAACATCTGTATACCACTTTTTGCATAAAAATGCTTGGTAAGCATTATTTCATATGCCAAAGTTACTTATTGACCTAGAAAGGTAATTTTACAAATATACCCTTAATTTTTGGACTGAGTGGTCAATTCTCTGAGGTGATGCACTGATGACCATTGTCAACTGCTACTAGCATTCTGTTAATATGTATAGTTTTTCAGCAGAGAAGTAAAACATGTATTGATATTTACATGGACACTAATAATGTTTTGCAATTTTAATCTTAGTAATTATAAAGAAATGGGCACACATTTCAGAAGAAACTATTTACTCACAACCTTTGGTAAGAACTTTACAGGGTGCTGTATAGAAAAGTGTTAATGAATGACAGAGAAGCAAGAATTTATGGGATCATATAATGTTGCTTACAATTACTGCAGTCGACAAATCCATGTCCTGAGGGCAGCTGAGAATTTGTTGTTATTGTTTTTGTTCCTTTCTTCCATTCTGTGATTGGTATCTCACAAAGTTTAAAAAAAAGTCCTATTAGAGTTCTCCCTCCTAAAATATTGAATTATAACTGTTTTTAAATTGATTCAAGATTGAGCTGCAAGTTTACCAATTTTCATTTATGAAACAGCCAAGGCTGGAGTCAAAAATATTGCAACTTGCTGAACGACGTGACTTTTGCTCATCCTACAGGTATGAAGTCAATAAGTGAACATCTCAAGGAGCTTTGTTCAATTAAATGTGTTTGTGGAAAAAAAATTGAACAAACCATGTCTGGTTACTGTAGATTCACTACTGGATATAAATCACTGACGCACACAGAATCTTCAGAAGATCCATTGCAGAAGAGTAATAGAGCTGGAAGTCCAACACCTGCAGGGTTGCTAATAATTTACTTATCCATAGTGACTTCTAGGCAAGTTCTTTTCATGATGGATGGGTCAATTAAACATCTGTTAATCAAAACATTATCTCACATAGATGTGAAATAGTTATTCTACACAAGCTGTTCCTGATTCTGATAGCATCTCTTTTTTTCTGCTTTACCAAGAGATCGCATCTAAAACATTTAAAAGCAACTTTTTAACCCCTGAGGGAAGGAATCGCTAGACCGCACAGTTGTTACCCTTCCCCCCCCCCCAACCTTGCTGTAACCTCAGGCTTATGATCTCACATGTACACTATAGGCCCTAATAATAAAGAAACATCTGCAAAAGTTACAAGGACTTTACCAGAGTTAATTGAGTAAATTGAAGCAAGCTGGGTTACAGGGTGATCTATGATCCCAGGTTGAGGGCCTAAGAGGGAGACAACAGATTTACTGCAAAGACAGTGGGCGGCCTTTGTTCAGGCTGTGGTTCACGGGAAGTTTGAGGTCATGTAGGAGAGAAATATGCAGAAGAACAAATGCAATAATTTGATTAAAATAGTGGGTAACCGTACCAGCCAATGCCAGGAAAACAGGTGTAATTTATTTGCTTTAAATAGAAAACAGTTTTTTTTTAACTTCCCTAATAACCCATCCCTTAATCAGAATGTGTAGATATGGAGAAATCTTTGTTATTTATTTATCTTTAGCTTTATTTTTGATAGTGCCAAACATTTTCTGTATTCCTCATAAATAACAACATTGAAGCTTTTAAAACACCTCTAATGAACATTGACTTGGCACGCAGCACTTAATAAAAACAGTCTAACCTCGTTTTCTGCATGACAGGCTACCAGTGCAGAATGTGCCCTACAAGTAAATGATTAAGAGGCAAAAAATCTTTTCTGGCCTGCTATTAAACACTTCAAAAGATTTTTGAAGCCTGATAAAATGAAAAGCAAATGTGTTTCACTCACTTTCAAATACCACAAATGTTTTAGCAGGTGCAAGCAATGAAATCCTGTGCAGTGACAGCTCTTTAGGGTCTGCAAAGTGCAGCAAACTAAATTAGGAGGAAAGCTCAACTTTTTATATGAAAGCAGATCGTATTAAAAGCTTTCCTCTCTCCACTTCTTCTGATACCAAAACCTACCTGTGACTAAACCAGCAACAAAACAACAGACGGCACACTAGTATTGGTTTGTGAGTTATGTAATCAATCTGATTGCAAGGCAGCTGGGTGAAAACTGTGATTACCTTCTCTATACTCAGAAGGCAATAGACAGGCATCACAGGATGAGCCTCCATTATTTCACAGGTGAACTGACTACTGATGTTTAGTGCAGATGTGTTGTTATTATCCTCCCTTTCTTGTCTTAAAATGCTGTCAAAATCAACAAAGACTTACTCATGTCTTAGCATCAAACTGCAAGACTCCCCTGGTTCCATTTTGATTGCAGAGAAGGGAAATCAAAGGCAGCAAATTCCCCAATGAATCTGTGAAAAACATTGAAGAGAAAGAATGATAAAGCCTAATTATTTTTTATTGCTGTCACTTTGAATTACTATAAAAGTCTACTACAGGCCATATATTTGAGTTGTTTAAAAGGGGGTGGGAGAAATTAATTGAACTAAACATTAGACAAGCATATGTTTTTATAATCAGAAATGCAAAAGTGAAGCTCATTACTTTTTAAGTTCCCAGTTCTTGGTTTTAATTATTTCCAATTACCGTGGGAATGGATATCTGTTGGTATAAGTTTCTGATCTCTGTTTTCATGTTCTCTTCCAAACAACCTTTAACCTCTCTAATGAAGAAACTTTACCATGCTATGGCATTTAGAGCAGTATTTTTAAAATGCATTGACAGAATTCAATTTACAATGCTGTTGGTAACATTTGTTATGTTTAGACCTCACTTACAGTACTAAAGGTAATAATGTCATATGCTCATAATAAGATTGGAGTTTTCATTGAGGCTAAATGCACATCTCAAATTCCAGTTAGGTTAACGTTTCACTGGAAATCTTTGTGAACTGCTTGATGAACCCAGAGTGCCCCCAAAACTGTACACGTTCAATGTCATTGCAGAGTTCATACACAACAATGTTTGTATTAGTACAACATATGTTGCATATTTGATTGAACCAATATTCCTCTCCTTTAATCTGCATTGTCTTGAAATTAAAACTCCTTTCCTATTCATTCTAACTCATTCATTACTGGGATTCCAAGGCTGTGGAACTGTACACAATCTTCCCTTCCTCTTGCAGTCTTCGACTTGTAAAACTAACCAGTTCTTGAATTAAATTACTCCTTTTTCCTCATTTTAGCTTAAGTTTTGTCCCAACAGCGTGACTTTTGATATTCTTAGCAAAATAGTTAAGCCATCCCTTTACTCCACCACAGATTCAAACAAGAATTCTTATCAATCTGATAAATCATCTAAATCTGGGATGAAATTATTTATGGCTTTTTTGAATTGAAACCGAAGTCAGAGCATTAACAGGATTGTTAATGTTTGTTTCCCTCGGTCACCAGCAACTGAACTGAATGTTGCCACTAGGACCACCATGCATCAGATATACATTCTATCCCCTGGATTGTTAGTTTATTATGGCCTGAATCCATTCACGCCATACCTTCATTAGTTCGGCAGGGAATCTGAGTTCATGATTGTATTTATGATGTGCTTAATCCCAGCCACAGAAAAGTAACAACTTTAATTGACCCCAAGAACAACTGGAGTGAATACTGCTGCAACGCACTGACAAATAACATAATAGATCTTGTTTTCTTCATAGGTCTTGTTGATAGTCACCATGATTAGAAATTACTGTAACAAGATATCCCTTGCAGTCGCATTGTACTGTCCCTAGCTGCATGTTTAACATCGTTTACCCTTACGTAAGGCCAAAAGGCCAAGTTCAATCAACCCACCCCTTGGGATGACCATGCTCTATGCACATTTTTTTCCCATTAATAGTGCAGCGAACAGGGACATTATTTATGTCCAGCAGGTTACTAAATACCTTTGGAGGCCTGTGTTTTCCCATAAACTTTACTGACATCGCATAGGCTTGTGAAGGAAGTATGTTTGACCTAATCAAATCTGCACAATGCAATTTAAGGATATAGTTTTATTCTAGACTGTATCAGTCCAGGCAACAAACCAATACATATGAAATAAATCCAAAAGACTAATTCTTTGGAATTATTCTGGGCTCAGTTTATATTTGTATTGTCAAATAATTAATATGTAACTGATTGTACTTTACAGAATAGCTATCTATCTAAAATAAATCCTAACGAAAGTAAAAGTTAAGAACACCTATTGATTTTATTCTTGAGTGTGATCATATTGTTTTAATTGATTAAGTGTCTGTATTTTATTCCTGTCAAATGAGTTACATTGGGCTGAATCTTACATCTTTGGCTAAGCTTGAGTTGGATCAAGTCTTTGGAGGGATTTCTGCCATGAGGCCTAACCAGATGTCTCACATATCATGAGCAACCTTGCCCCATTATCTATCTACCGCATCTCTGTGGTGACCCTCACATTCAAGTCCAGCCCTGACTTACCATGTGCAAAACCCAGAACAACTCGCCATGCAGTGGGCATCTGCCAAAAGATAGGATTCCTGGCACCCGCGCCATTTTTAAAAGGCCACCATGTGGCCCAATTAGCACCAGCATTCTGAAGCTGCCCTGCTCAGGGGTAGGCAGCAGCATGATTCTCTGACAGGAACCTGGAGGTCCAGGTTCATGGGGTGGTGGAAAGGAGGTAGGTCCTCTTTCTGGAGGATTTGCAAAGGTGGCCACACTGTCAGACCTTGGCAGCATGGGTCAGGGTCATCTCCACGGTGTAGAAGAACTGCCAGCTGTGCCAGAAGAAGGTCAATGACTTTCTTTGCCAAGCCAGGTTAAGTGCCATGCTCTTCTCTCTGCTACATCTCAGCCACCCTAAAACTGTATCCACCTCCTATCAAGGCTCATGCTCTACCGCTCCCACCATTGACTGCAACATCTTCCCTCACTCACAGTCACCCATCCCAACTGTATCCCCAGCCCAACACCACTAACATTGCATGGCCTTTGTGGAGTCTACCTGGGACACCTCACCGACTTTAACCCATCTGCATCAACACTAACAGCTGTGCCACCCACTTTCACCTCATCTCAATTTTACCCCTTCTCTCATTACAGGGGAAAACATCCCATTACAGGGTAGGGAGAGCCTGTTCCAATAGAGTGGTGTCCAACATTAACTTCCTGACCCACCCTGAGGAGAAAAACCTGGTTTTCACAAGACAAGACCAAAACCACCTCTGCTGGGATATCAAGACAACCATGTCCTGCCAACTAGGTAAGTCTCACACTTCATTCCACTGCAGCCCTCATAGTAGCCCCACTTTAGGTGTAATTCTTTGCTAAACATCACCACTCGTTTTCTCTTCTTTCTTTTACAGATATTGCCATCATCTCCACCATCTCCTGCAGTTAAACGGCTGGCTCTGTCAGAGGCTACTTTCTTGACCACCCAGGACAAATGGACGGAGGCCTCAATGTAAGCAGTCTGCCTCCTGCACCCCCGCACCAGCTCAGATGCTGACAGCTCAGTCACAATCTGGTGGGCACCTCACTGCAACAGCTCTGCAGCTGGCTCAGGAAGAAATGCCCCAGGCCGAGGGCATTGTCAGAGACCAGGCTTCTAATCAGCCCCAGGCAGGAGAGGCTTCTGTGAAGTCAGCAAACTGGGACTTTGTCCACATGTGCAGGGAGGAGCAGAAGCAGCAGACAGGAATGAGGGACTCAATGGCTTTCCTTGCCCAGAAGTTGCACTCCATCACCCAACCCATTGATCCTCAGGACCTAAAGCATGGTCACAGTGGGGGGAAGGCACCGGACATTCACTCCAAGGGGCCCTTCCGCATGAGGAAACAGGGTGGTGCCAGGATGCAACCACACACAACCCCCTCCGATGCCCCCAATTCAGGACTCTCTGGAGGTGGCCAGGCCTTTCACCTCCGTCCTGCCTGCCCCATCCTATCCTTGGAAGATCTTGCCGAGGAGTGACCACTGACCTCTGGCAAGAAGACACTCAGTGTGTCTGGTCCTTTCAGATATAAGCAAGACCCAGGGTTACCAGGCCAAACCTCCTGGGTCAATGGCCTCCACTGCTGAGCAGGTTCCAGCTGCAGTACCAGGGCCAATTCTAGACCCATCTTACCATGCACATTACACTACAACAAGCCACCACTCAGTGGGTATCTGCTGAACAACTGGCATCCCTTGCACCCATGCCATCTTTGGAAGGGCACTGTGCACCCTGGATGAACACTGGCATTGCAAAACTGTTCGATGTAGTGAGAGGGGGATAAGGAAGGATACTTTTTGAGGGTACTTTCAGAGTATGGGTGACAATGTACTGTATGTCATTTGGCACTGTTTTATAAATGTCACAGCTTTGATCTTACATCTGGTTGTTGGTTTCTCTGTGTAGCCCCACTGTTATTGTTCCAGTGTGAGGCGTAACCTCATAGCCACACAGGATTGATCATGGATTGATGTCTGCATTGAGAGGCTGCTGTAGTAACTGGAAACAAGATGAACAAAGTGTAAATAGGGCAACGAGTCCTATTTGGCACCATTGGCCCTCATCTTACAACATCCCTATTCTTTCCCAGGCTCAGTGTTAAAAAGTGTTGGTGTGGTCAGTGATATCATAAAATAGAATCATAGAATCCCTACAGCGTGGAAACAGGCCCCTTCGGCCCAACAAGTCCACACCGAACCTTGGAGCATCCCACCCAGACCCATCCCCCTATAACCCACCTAATCTACACCTCCCTGAACACTATGGACAATTTAGCATGGCCAATCCACCTAACCTGCGCATCTTTGGACTGTGGGAGGAAACCAGAGCGCCCGGAGGAAACCTGCACAGACACGGGGAGAATGTGCAAACTCCACACAGACAGTCACCCAAGGCTGGAATTGAACCCGGGTCCCTGGTGCTGTGAGGCAGCAGTGCTAATCACTGTGCCACTGTGCTGCCCTTGGGGACAGGAAAGTGTACAGCACACAGGGAGCCAGTGCATTCGGGTGGTCAAGGATTAGGGACCCTGCAGGCTGAGTCGAGTGCATGGGCTCGTGTGTAATGTTGTTTACCTTTAAACGCACTCACTTCGGTGGGTCGAGACACTCATCCTGCCCGCACCATGTGGTCACAGTAATTTTCCTCCTCTCTTGTGGCACAGTGGCAGTGACTTTACCTCTGATCCAGGAGCCGAGGTTGAAGTCCCATCTGCTCCATAGGTGTGCCATAATTTCCCTGAACGGATTGATGAAAAATGTCTATAAGATGCTCCTGATCTCAAAATGGCTCTCGTTGGATATCTTATAGAGTCATACAGCACAGAAACAGACTCTTCCATGCTGAACATAATCCCAAACTAAACTGGTCCCACCTGCCTGCTCCTGGCGCATATCCCTCCAAACCTTTCCTATTTGTGTACTTATCCAAATGTCTTTTAAATGTTATAATTGTACCCACATCCACCACTTCCTTAGGAAGCTCATTCCACACACGAACCACCCTCTGTGTAAAAAATTTCCCTCTTATGTATTTCTTAAATCTTTCTCCTCTCACCTTAAAAATGTGCCCTCTGGTCTTGAAATGCCCCATCCTAGGGAAAAGACAACTACCATTAACTCTATCTATACATCTCATTAATATACAAACTTCTATCAGTTCGCCTCTCAACCTCCTACGCTCCAGCCAAAAAAGTCCAGTTTTTCTTTATAACTCAAACCTTCCATACCCGACAACATCCTGGTAAATCTCATCTGAAGCCTCTCCAGCTTGATAATATCCTTCCTATAACTGGGCGACCAGAACTGGACACAATATTCCAGAAGAGGCCTCACCAATGTCTCATTCGATTCTGCTACAAATCTCACCATAGTCCAAGCTGCTCAGATTCCTGTCAGATTCTACCAATTATTTCTTTAACAAGGGCCAATCCTATTGTAAAAACCTTTTAATTTTCCCCAAATGTTCCTCATTATAATACAGCAAAACAGAGAAACAGCCACAGTGTACACAGTCCAACCTAATCCAGATCAAACTTAATTAAGTTTCAAGTGGTTTTGATTAAATGGATTATTTTGCATTCTGAGGAATTAAATAACAACAATGTTACCTATATAAACCTGCAAGTTTCTTTGTAGATACTGACGTAGAAATGCCCAAGCTATCGCAAGCCTCATACTCCATTTAGGAGGCTGCTTCTACAAAAGATTGAGTAGACTGGGACTATGTTCATTGGAATTTAGAAGAATATGTGGGGTGATCTTATAGAAACATATAAAATTATGAAGGCAATAGATAAAATAGATGCAGGGAGATTGTTTCCACTGGCAGGTGAAACTAGAACCAGGGACAATAGTCTCAAAATAAGGAGGAGCAGATTTAGGATTGAGTTGAGGTGGAACTTCTTCACTCAAAGGGTTTTTAATCTGTGGAATTCCCTGCCTAGTGAGGCAATTAAAGCTACCTCATTGAATGTTTTTGACGTAAAGATAGATAGATTTTTGAACAGTGAAGGAATTAAAGGTGAGCGGGCTGATAAGAGGAGCTGAGTTCACAAAAAGATCAGCTATAATCTTATTGAATGGCGGAGCAGGCTTGACAGTCCAGATGGTTTATTTCTGCTCCTACTTCTTATTTCTTATGCTCTTCTCGTTTCATATCCCTCCCTTATCTGCCATTATTTCATTCTCACTTGCCCCTGTTTCAGACCTGGCTTAATGCCCTCTCCCTCTTATATCTCCACCTCCACCTCAACAGTTGAAGGATTGCTGTGAAAAACCTTGTAAACCTCATCTAAAAGAAATACCAATTTGCCATTTTGGATATTCTAACATTTTGTTTTAACAGATTTATATTTGGCCAATCCCTCAACCAACATCGCTAAAAATTTGATTAGCTGGCCGTGTATCTCATTGCTTTGCTGTAAGGAGGTTGACTGCTGCATGTCCCAGAGTTTCAAAGCTGACTACACTTCATAGGTCCTTCATTGGCTGTAAAACATATTCTGACATCCTGAGAAAATGAAAAGCACAATGTAAGTTTGAGTTCTTTCCTTTCATTACAAAAACGAAATCAATTTTGGTGAATTCCTTCAGGACTGTGTCTAATTGCGTCTCACTTTCAATCAATGCTGCACTCAAAAGGATTATATGAGCTAGCAGTTTAGCAAACTTTCCTTTCAACTTTTGGGTGTGGGTGCCAATCCACTCTTGAATTATGACTGAAAGCTTCCTCTATCTGGTGGATATAGAGAGTGTTTCTGAAATGATTTTGGGCAATTTCTGCATTCCGCTCATCAGAAGCACCTTGATAGATCATTTATAATTTAGTTAGTCTTGAGTTATGGGATCTTTCTTCACAGAATTAAGTGGACATTCCACTGTGCCCACTGTGTACCTTTTTGTATTTCCCAGGTGCACATCTGAGAGTTTTGAATTAAACTTTTGGTTGACATAACTTACTCCAGCTCAGCACATCTTTCAAAATCCCTGCTCCCTTGACAATTACTCCATTCCTCCGGCCACTCCCTCATACTGAATCAGATTGTTTGCAATTTTTCTGCTCAGTTTAACCTTCAGTTTATTTTCAAATCCTATATCCACTCTGTAGTAGATCTCCTCCTATTGTTTCTATAACATGAGCTGCTCAGCCCCATATCATTGAATGAAACTTTTTTTATTTGTCATTACCACCCATGGAATTGATTATTTCAGTACTGTCCATGTTGGCTTGCTGTCCTTCATGAATTTCACCTTTCCCAAACCATATTGTTCCATGTTCTTTCCACTGTAATTCCTCTTGCCCATCACCCCATTCTGCTGGCTTACATTAACCCCTATCCCCTGATCTAAATCTGCTCTGGTCCTGCTGTACCAAAACCGGCAATTTTCCCAGCTAGCCATCTTCTCTGGAGGAAACTGTAGCCTCCAGCTTCCTGTGGTCTTTCCTACTTCCACCTCTCCTTGCAGGCTTAAGCTATACTATCTGTTTCCTATTCTCTGAAATGTTCTCAATAAACCTTTCTGCTTCTGTACGTTGGCATGGACAGCAATTTTTTGACAATCCTTTCATAGAATCTATTGCAAAAAAAAAGTTTTTAGAACAAAATGTATTCACAAATCTTTTAAAAGTACAATGGTGATAAGTGGTTAATACATTAACAAGCGAATTGATGCTGTTTCCACATAAACAGAAAATTCTACGAAATTTCTATGAAGATTCTACAAAATTCATCACCAATTGTGGCCATTACTAAATATCTCCAGCTCTCTTTATTGAGAAGTCACTGGTCCTTTCTTGGCTGTACCATACACAGGGGGAAATTTTTTTAAAAATTAGAAACAGACGAAAGCAATCAGTTAGATCCAGTAAAGGCTACAAAAACAGTTGCATTTTACATAGAATCCTGTAGTGCCAAGCTTTTGCTTGGCTCCCAGTTTAGGATTTCGTAAGGTGCTAAGGAGCTATGCTGTTTAAGAAGGTGACACATTTATGTGGGGAATGGCATTCAAATTTCATCAAGTTGCACTTCAGAATAATCCATTATTAAGGATGACAAGTTGTATGCACTGTTTCAATTAAATGAATGCGATGATAACTCATGTTCTGCATGTACATTCATAGTTTAATGAATTATACGTAACCTTGTTTGTCACAGCCTAGCCTTTAAAAAAATGAAGAGACAAGTAATAAAAAAGGACTGGAATAAATGAAAGTGATGGT